GAAAATAGGTTACAGCATTCGTCTAGAATTAACATCAACATGTTCATACATGATTCTTTACAATCCTTAGCAAAAACACAAAAGTTTACAAAATATATATATCCAAGAACTTCATTTAGAACTTTGTAAAAAGGCCTAGGTTGCATGTACAAAATACAACATCAACTAAAGTCCCAATCTCGTCTAAAATGGTGGTGGGTTGTCATCCGCTACTTCCTTACCTGAGCCTGAAAAAATGTTAAATAATGGGGTGAGCATAAGCTCGGTAGGAATTGTCTAAGACACATTTCTTATGGCCCTGTGAATCCATACAATGAGTAGATAAAAAGAAATGGGATCATGCCATAGGTATCACATGCTTTCAACCACAACAACAAGTATATAGCAAATATTAACCGATCACGGGTTTACTACAAATGCCATGGAGTGCAATGTTATGCAAATGCCACTCCCCATCTCTGAAACAATTCCGTTTTAACAATTAAACCGTTACTGTAATCCGACTCAAGGCAGCTCTAAGGCGTCACGAAAGAAAGGTTGGCTAACTATCCATGACCACAAGGCACCTCCAAGGCATCGCATCCGGCCTAGTTAACTCAACTACATTCCCTTCTAGACTACACCAACATCGCGGACCACTAGGCGCCTCCTAAGCGTCCGGCTTTCGTAACACTTTTAGAAAAATATTTTCCCAAAACAATTTCATTTGCTTTTAAATCACTTTTTACCCTTTTTCTTTCCCAATGAATGCATGAGTACTTCATGCTTCTACTCAACAATGTAACCATAACATTTTCATACATGCTATACAAAGCACTTTTCTAAACTACATAACTAAGGCTCTCATTTAACATTAAATTTGCATAACAAGCATATAAGACGTAGATTCAACTTCATGTAAACGTGTAAACATGGTCAATTACCATAAAACAACTAACAGGTAATCACATATATCACATGTTCATCATTTAAACAAGTTTTTGCACGAATCTATACCAATTAAACATGTTAGACATCAATTTTAACTAAAAACTCACAAAAGTACAAGAAATCATGCATTAGAACACCCCTACCTTAGATTTATAGAAAAACCCTCAAAATGGGTCTCAAATTCGAAATCTTAGGGAAGGCCAAAAACTGAAATTGCTTGTACTCACACGTAGATCTCGCCGTGCTCTCCGTTTTGCCGCAAACAGCTCCCAAAAACTCCAAGAAATGAGAGATTAATTGAAACTTGAATTTTTGATGCAGAAGAAAAAGAAAAATGAAGAACAAGAGAGGGAGAGAGAGGATTACGAGGAGAGAGAAAGAATGGGGCTAAATTGGCCCCTTGACCATTAATTCATTTAGTGGAAAATGGGTCCCACCAAGAATTCCTAATTTGACTTTTCTTTTATTCTTTTTCCACCACAAATTATATACATGCACACAATCATATAAAACCTATATAAGCACATTAAAGAATATAAATGTTATGCAAATGGACCTAACTAAAACGTCCGTACACGACAATTCCGGTAGCGGGTCCCACAAGGGACCGTCCGGCCCAAAAAACTGAAAAATGCCGAAATGGCAACCCTTGCATTTTCAAGAGTCAAGAACTCAATGAAATACTCCAAACAACTCTCTAACCTACCCGGCACACCCTATGGTGTCCGGTACGTAAAATGGGAAAAAGACAAAAATACCCTTGCCAACATGGAAAAATTCTAAAAATAGAAAATGATGAAAAACGGAAACATCACAATCTCCCCAATTTAAAAGGATTTCATCCCCAAAATCGAGTCATACCTGAGGGAGAAAACAACGCTGGGTACTTGGAGCAAACCTCCTGTTCGAGTTCCCAAGTAGCCTCCTCAACTCCGTGGTGTCTCCAAAGAACCTTCATTAGCGGTATCGTCTTGTCCCTTAACACTTTCTACCGTGTGTCAAGGATTTGAATTGGTCCCTCTTCATAGGAGATATCCTCATCAATATCTACATCAACCCAATCAAGAATATGGGACGGATCTGATTCATATTTTCGTAACATCGACATGTGAAAGACATTGTGGACCCTGTCCAACTGTGGTGGTAATGCAAGTCTGTAGGCCACCTCTCCTACAAGGTTTAGAATCTTAAACGGTCCAATGAATCATGGCGATAACTTGCCACTCTTCCCGAACGTCATCAACCCTTCTGTGGAGAAACTCGAAGAAAGACGTAGTCTCCCACCTCAAAGGATAGCGGCCGTCTCTGCCTGTCCGCATAGCTCTTCTGTTGGCTCTGAGCTGTGAGCAACCTCTGTTTAATCAGCTTAATCTTCTCAGTAGTGTCAAGTACAATGTCAGGTCCTAAGGCAGCTGTCTTGCCTACCTCAGTCCAACAAATAGGAGACCTGCAAGGTCTGCCATACAACGCCTCAAATAGAGCCATTTGAATGCTCGCCTGATAACTGTTGTTATAGGCAAACTCAATAAGTGGAAGGTGATCCTCCCAACTACCTCCCAAATCAAGAACAAAGGCCTGAAACATATCCTCTAAGATCTGGATGGTACGCTTCGATTGGCCGTTTGTCTGTGGATGGAATGCAGTACTAAGATGTAGCGAAAAACCAAACGCTGCTTAAAGTCCTTTCCAAAACTTTGAAGTGAACTTGGCATCCCTATCTGAAACAATAGCTACTAGAACTCTGTGTAGCCGTACTATCTCCTTCACATACAGTATGCCAAGTGCCTCTACATCATCTATCGCCTTAATAGGCAAAAAGTGAGTCGTCTTGGTCAATCTGTCAATAATGACCCATACGGTTTCATTTCCCGTCTGTGACCTACGAAGACCTGTCACAAAATCCATAGCAATTTGTTCCCATTTCCACTGCGCTATCGGCATTGGCTATAATAAACTCGTTGGTCTCTGGTGCTCGGCCTTCACCTGCTGACAGGTAAGGCACTTAGCCACAAATTGTGCAACGTCCTTTTTTATTCCATTGCACCAGTATTGGCGTCTCAAATTGTGATAAATTTTGATACCACTTGGATGAACAGCAAAGCGGGAAGTGTGAAACTCCCGTAAGACTTCCTCACGACATACTGTAGGAACAACCAATAAACCTCTGAATTGTAAACCTCCATCAGCATGTAAGGTCCAATCCTTCACCGTCTCACCACTAGAAATTAGAGTGTGAAAAGTATCTAAGTCTGGATCCTACCTCTGTGACTCAATCACTCGCCTGACAAGAGTAGGCTGAGCCATAAGACTAAACAAAAATTCTGACTCACGGCAGACATCACCATTAATATAACACAATCCCATCTCTGCCAAATCCTAAAGCATCTTCCACTTCCGAATGGCTAAACTAGCCAAAGTCTCCCGAGATTTCTAGTTTAGGGCATCAACTACCATATTTGCCTTGCCTGAATGATACTGCAAATCAAAGTTATAGTCCTCCAAGAACTCAACCCATCGCCTTTGTCTATTGTTCAAGTCCTTATGGGAGAAAACGTACTTGAGACTTTTATGATCTGAAAATACCTCAAATCTTTCGCCATACAAGTAGTGCCTCCAACTCTTTAAGGCAAACACAACTGCCACTAGCTCTAAGTCATGAGTAGGGTAGTTAAGCTCGTGAGTCTTCAACTGTCGCGACCTATAAGCTACCACCCTACCCTCCTGTATTAACACACAACCCAAACCATCACATGATACATCACAATAAATCACATAACCCAAGCCACGCTCGGGTATCACCAACATTGGAGCCGTAGTCAACCTTGTTTTCAACTTTTGGAAGGAAGACTCACAGGCTTCATTCCATGTAAACTTGATTCCCTTTTGGGTCAATCTAGTCATAGGAGTTGCCAAATGGGAAAAATCTATCATGAATCTCTGACAATAACCCGCTAGGCTAAGGAAACTTCGGATCTGAAAAACATTCTTGGGTTGCTCCGAATTCAAAACGGCTTCAATCTTCGATAGATCAACTGACACTGCCCCTTCTGAGACAACGTGTCCTAAAAATTTCACTTCATATAGCCAAAATTCACATTTATTATATTTAGCGTACAAGCGATGCTCCCGCAAAATCTGCAACACTATACTCGGATGGATTTCATGCTCCTCCTAAGTCCGCGAATACATAAGAATGTCATTTACGAAAACTACCACAAACTGGTCCAAGTAATCGTGGAAGACACGGTTCATTAGATCCATGAATGTTGTTGGCACATTAGTTAGGCCAAAAGATATAACAAGGAACTCATAATGTCCATACCGCGTGCGGAAAGCGGTTTTGGGGATATCCTCTTCCCTAACCCGTAATTGATAGTAACCTGACCTCAAGTCACTATTAAAAAAATAACTGGCTCCCCGCAACTGATCAAACAGGTCATCTATCCTCGGTAAAGGGTACTTATTCTTGATGGTGGCATGATTCAGCTTCCGGTAATCAATGCACAACCTCAAAGAACCATCTTTCTTCTTAGCGAACAAGACTGGTGCACCCCACGGAGACACACTCTGCTGAATGAAGCCTTTCACCCTCAATTTATCAAGTTGTTTCTTCAATTCTTCCAATTTAATTAGTGTTATACGATACGGTGCCATAGAAATGGGCGCGGTACCAAACATCAAATCAATAGCAAACTCTACCAAGAGTGACTGAACCCCCAATAGGCATGCCAACACAAAGCGATCTATCTAACTGACTGAACTCCAACCCTAACGCCTGTGCAAATGATGAAGCGATGAAAGAATAGGAAGTACTAGAATCAAACAACACTCGAGCCCTTGACGACTGAAGGACTAGATGGTGGCTCGGTTGGAGTGAGGGCAAACACACGACCCTGAGTCCTCTGCCCTTGAGAACTACTTGCCTGATAACCATACTGTTGTGTGGGTGCACTCAAAGAAGCTCCTCTTCCCGATCTAGAACTCTGGGCTGACATAGCTAGCTGTGATAGCTGAGGTGGTGGTGGCGATCGAAATCCTGACTGAACTGTGGCGGACTGCGTCTGCCTCAGCTATGAACCTCCACCTCTGCCTGAACCGCTGCCCCACTGTGGACAATCCTTCACCCTATGGCCCTGCTGGCCACACCCAAAACACCCATCAGATGCCACTTGGATCTGAGTACACTGAGACTTGTGGTGCCCTGACTGTCCACACTTGAAATAAATCACCTGAGCTTTAGTGCATTGGGACTTGTAATGTCCCGATTGACCGCATCTAAAACAAATAACATTCAGTCTAGAAGACCCCATGGACACTGAAGCTATAGGTATGGATCTGGCTGACTGTTGCCCCTGAACCCTAACTACTCATGCTTCTACTTTTTACTTGATTGACCCTCGGAGAAAGCACTCATACTTCTGTTGTGCTTACAGGACTCCCTGATAACCTTGCTGTCCTTACTTTCAGCCTCAACCACTAAGGCTTTTCGCACCGCTTTTGCATACTCTGTCAGTTCTAAGGCAGCTAAAATTAGCCTGATGGTAAGATCTAGGCCATCAACAAACATCTCTATCTTCCCTTCCTCATCATTGGCAATCCCCGGAGCAAATCTCAAAAGCGATGTAAACTTATTCTCATACTCAGTGACTGTCATATTCCCCTACTTTAACCCATCAAACTCTTTCTTTAGCTGTCTCTGCTTAAGTGCCAGAAAATACTTCTCTTAGTACAGTTTCTTGAATGTGTGATAAGTCATAGTATCCAAATTATGGGTGTGAGAAATGGTCTTCCACCAAATCTCAGCATCCCCAATAAAGTTGTAAGTTGCTAAAGTGATCTTCAACTTGTCCATCGCCAAATTCATAGCATTAAGGTGCTTCTCCACCCTATCCATGAAACTATCCTCAACGAACGGGTCTGGACTGCCCTCAAACAAATTCGGCATCAACTTCACGAACTTAGCAATGTGGTAAAGAGTATCATCTGACTCATTTTTCTTTGGAGGTGGTGCCAGTGGTGGCACAACCTGTGACGATGACGCCCCTGCCAGCCGAAATGCATCGAAAATAGCTGCCTAAACGGCCAACTTTAACTGCTCCTCATTTATCTGAAGAGGTGGATCAACGGTCCCCCTCGATTGTTCCCTTCTTGGCAGAATCAAATCTCGCAACAAAATATCCTCCCCAACCTGCTCCTGATCCCTCTTCGTGGGATTGGAGCTAGAACTCTAACCGGGATCCCTTCGTGGTGGCATGACGCTATAAAATGAGAGGATGGATTAAAAATAATGACACTAGAATGCGCACGAGAACAGAGTCCTCACACAAATAACTCAATAGGAAAAGATAACACGTAAACATTTTCCATACTCCCATAACACCCAACCAATAATGAGCATGATCATGCTAGTAATATATATCAATTTAAAACGATTAACATATAATCACATAAACAGTTAAACAATCAAGCATGCTTCTTAAACAATTAAACAACTTAACACATAAGCACATAAACATGCAATCACATAAGCACTTAAGCAATTACAAATAACTCAACACCCCATGTAATCCCAGGTAGGCCTCTACCCATCGTCCTAATGGTATTCGAACCATGACTCTGATACCAATTTTGTAACGACCAAAACCCGTAAGTCCAAACCGTTAACCAGGTCCTTACCCAAATCCGAGGTTACCTAAATTAACACCATTCAATTCAGTATATTACATCATTATTTACTTCAGTATCATGATCCACAAAGACCCCAAGCGACGTCCTAAGACTTAAGATTAGTTAAGCCAAAAGAAAGCGCAAGAATCACAAACAGTAGCCAAATTGGTCTACCGAAATGGAGCTTCGATCGGCCGAATCATCTCCTGTACCGATCGACCGAAGTGGCCATTTCGGTTAGCTGGCTATGACCCAAATGATGATGGTGGCCACTGGAAGAATCGATCGACCGAATGGTCCTGCGAGCTGCCCTGCTACTAGAAAACTGCCATAAACCAGAAAATGAATAAAAGTCTACTAAGAAGCTCTCAAACTGAGAAATTCCATCCCATGCATATGTAACAATGATGAAAATAGGTTACAACATTCGTCTAGAATTAACATCAACATGTTCATACATGATTCTTTACAATCCTTAGCAAAAATACAAAAGTTTACAAAATATATATATATATCCAAGAACTTCATTTAGAACTTTGTAAAAAAGGCCTATGCTGTATGTACAAAATACAACATCGACTAAAGTCCCAATCAAGTCTAGAATGGTGGTGGGTTGTCATTCGCTACTTCCTTACCCGAGCCTGAAAAAATGTTAAATAATGGGGTAAGCATAAGCTCAGTAGGACGTGTCTAAGACACACTTCTTATGGCCCTATGAATCTATACAATTAGTAGATAAAAAGAAATAGGATCATGCCATAGGTATCACATACTTTCAACCACAACAAGAAGTATATAACAAATATTAATCGATCACAGGTTTACTACAAATGCCATGAAGTGCAATGTTATGCAAATGCCACTCCCTATCTCCGAAACAATTTCGTTTCAACAACCAAACTGTTAGTGTAATTCGACCCAAGGCACCTCCAAGGCATCACGAAAGGAAGGTTGGTTAACTATCCAAGACCATAAGACACCTACAAGGCATCGTATCCAACCTAGTTAACTCAACTACATTCCTTTCTAGACTACACCAATATCGCGGACCACTAGGCGCCTCCTAGGCATCCGGTTTTCGCAACACTTTTAGAAAAATATTTTCCCAAAACAATTTCATTTATTTTTAAAACACTTTTTCCCCCTTTTTCTTTCCCAATGAATGCATTAGTGGTTCATGCTTTTACTCAACAATCTAACCATAACATTTTCATACATGCTATACAAAGCACTTTTCTAAACTACATAACTAAGGCTCTCATTTAACATTAAATTTACATAACAAGTATATAAGACATGGATTCAACTTCATGTAAACGTGACACATGTTTAATTACCATAAAACAACTAACAAGTAATCACATATATCACATGTTCATCATTTAAAAGTTTTTGAACAAATTTATATCAATTAAACATGCTAGACATCAATTTAAACTAAACTCACAAAAGTATAAGAAATCATGCATTAGAACACCCCTAACTCAGATTTGTAGAAAAACCCTCAAAATGGGTCTCAAATTCGAAATCTTATGGGAGGCCAAAAACTGAAATTGCTTGTACTCACACGTAAATCTCGCTGTGCTTTCCGTTTTGCCGCAAACGGCTCCCAAAAATTCTAAGAAATGAGAGATTAATTTAAACTTGAATTTTTTATGCAAAAGAAAAAGAAAAATGTAGAACAAGATAGGGAGAAAGAAGATTACTAGGAGAGAGAAAGAATGGGGCTGAATTGGCTCCTTGACCACTAATTAATTTAGTGGAAAATGGGTCCCACCAAGAATTCCTAATTTGACTTTTCTTTTATTCTTTTTCCACCATAAAATTATATACATGCACACAATCATATAAAATCCACATAAGCACATTAAAGAATAAAAATGTTATGCAAATGGACCCAACTAAAATGTCTGTACACGAAAATTCTGGTAGCGGGTCCCACACGGGACCTTCCCGCCCAAAAAATTGAAAAAATGCCAAAATGGCAATCCTTGCATTTTCAAGAGTCATGAACTCAATGAAATGCTCCAAACAACTCTCCGACCCACCCGGCACACCCCATGGTGTCCGGTACGCAAAACGGGAAAAAGACAGAAATACCCTTGCTGACACGGAAAAATTCTAAAAATAGAAAATGATGAAAAATGGAAACATTACACGTTTCTTCCATAAAGAATTCATTCCATATACTATTTATTACATACAGGGTTCTTTCCTTCTACAATTATTTCCATGTAGAACTTTTCCCATGCAAAGCTTCTTTCTATATAAGATTCTTTTCTATGCAGGAATTGATTAATCCGGTCCATTTTTGGATCATAATATGAGTGGGCCGGATTGGTCTTATGGTAGCTCAAGAGGCTGTCACTAATACCTTTGGGCTGTTGATGATTTTATTGTGCTTGATCAATATTGGGCTCTTAAGGGCTAGTAGACGGAAATAGAGAGATGGTGACTTTTTTAATGAGGTGGCTGATTTTTATTGGTAGGGGGATTTTTCCCTCCACACTTTTCCCCCAATTCCTTCCTAAATTGAATTACGGCTCCGAATTAGATGAGAATTGAATTTGCACGGTTGCCAAAGGTGTAAGAGGCGGTTTTAGAAGTGACTATTGACATTCTGACCAAAGAACTTCTTCAAAGTTTGCTCCTACCTTCATTACGTTCGTTGCTTCGTCATACTATCAAGTTAGTTTTTCATCTATCTTATAGATTCCATATCATGAACACTTCATCTACTCACGACCATATAAAAGTTATGGATTCTGAAACTACACCTTCAGCATCTCATGTTTTTCTTAGAATTCTGCTCTTAGGGTTTCTAACCTTATTGAGGTTACGAGTGATTCTGCAGCGAGAGGAGATGATTCTTCACCTCAGGCAGAGGTATCCATGTCTGGATCTACCGTTATCTTTACTAAAAAGGAAAAAGAAATGATTTTGTCAATCCGGCACATTAAGCTCACCATCGATTCTGTAATAGAAGAGTTTGAGATCCCTGAGGGGGTAGAGATAATTGAATACACAGCTGAGGCCGACTTTAGTTCTGGAGAAGGGGTAGGTGAGAATGAATTGCTTTTATCTGTTAGGCACCTTAATGCGCTTCATTTTCTTCTTCATCCTTTTTATCACTTAGTCTTCAATAAGTTAGGTATTGCTATTCTCCAAGTAAACCCTATAGTTCTTAGAATATTGTCGGCTCTTCTTGTTCGCCGAAGGTTAGAAGGAATTGATCTGAATCTCGCTGATTTATTGATCAGTTATACTATTTCCAGGCACCAACCCGAACTTGGCCATTATTATTTCACTTCTTCTCTTCAACAGAGGATATGCACAGACCTTCCTACTTCTAAAAAGAGATGGAAAGAGAGAATGATCATTGTTAGAGGAAATTGGTTTATGCCTCAGTCAGAGAAAATTCTGATTCCTTGCAAATTTGGGATCTTAGGTATAAAAGACCTTTCTTCCTTTCATTCAGAATATTCTGGTTGCTTCCCATGTCAGGTTTTGTTTTTTTGTCGTATTTACGAATTTCTTGGTGTTTTTTTAGCAACATTCCCATCTTCTGTGGCTAGGAAAAAGGCTTATTTTCCTCGAGGAACGAGTATGAAACGACCTTCCTTCTACAGAGGGCCTTCTTTCTTCATTCATCCTTAAGGAGTTTGCGTCTAGTGCTTCAGCGACTGATCTCATGGATTTGTCACTCCTTTCTTTTGATAGTTTTTCTCTAACTAATGAGGAGAAGAAGAGGGTTGAAGCTCTCAAGAAGAAAGCTGCAGAAAGCGAGCCTCTTGCAGTTGTGAGCTCTACTGAGCAGGAGAAGGAAGTTGAAGAACCTCCTTTAAAGAAAAAGGCTAGATTAAATTCTTCCATAGCTGCTAGAGGTAAAGGCATTAATCTTACAAAAAAATAAAGGGAAAAAAACTGACGAAGCTAAAGCAGAGGAAGACGTTCAGACCTTTGTCCTAACAGAGACAGGGGAACACT